CTCGTCCAGCTAGCACACTACTCGGGTTCGAACCATCTCCATCTGTATCTTGTGTTGCTTCTGAGCCTTCTTCACAACTTGAATTTGAGGCTCCACTGGAGCCAACTGGTGAACCAGAAATTTTCGAGCCCCCACATGCTACAACCTCGCACCCCATGGTCACCCGGTCTCACCTTGGAATTCTCAAACCTAACCCAAAGTATGCCTTAACTACCATATCCTCTGCCCATATCCCTCCTGAACCTTCCAATGTTCGAGAGGCCTTAGCTCATCCTGGTTGGAAAGCTGCCATGGACGAAGAACTTGCTACCCTACATCAAAATAAAACTTGGCAACTTGTTCCCCGCGTCCCTTATATGCATGTCATTGGCTCTAAGTGGCTTTTCAAGTCCAAACTCAAACCCGACGACTCTTTAGATCGCCTCAAGGCCCACGTGGTTGCAAAAGGGTATCATCAGATTGATGGCATAGACTACAGTGAGACCTTTTCTCCCGTCATCAAACCAGGGACCATTCGCCTAATTATCACCATCGCTCTTATTAAACATTGGCCTACTCGTCAACTGGATGTAAAGAACGCCTTTCTCCATGGCCTTATTTATAATAGTATATATATGCTGCAACCTCCAAGAATGGCTGACCGACAGTACCCCACACACGTTTGCAAGCTTCAAAAGGCTCTCTATGGCCTTAAACAGGCGCCACGCGCCTAGTTTGATCGTTTCGGTGCATTCCTCCTTAAATATGGTTTCTTTTACAGCTTGGCCGATCCATCCCTATTTATTTTTCATTTCCCTCATGGTTCACTAATCTTGCTACTTTATGTTGACGATATCTTACTTACAGGTTCCACTACGATGCTTGTCACAACCTTTATTCATTTGCTAAGTCGTGAATTTTTTATGAAGGACTTAGGACCGTTGCATCACTTCCTTGGTATTGAAATCTCCCGGACACAAGATGGCCTTCTCTTGTCACAATCTCATTACGCCCTTACCATACTCGAGCACTCCAACATGATAGACTGTAAACCTATGAATACACCGCTTGAAGTAAAAGCCAAGACCTCCTCACATAACACTTCGTTGGCAGATCCAAGTTACTTTCGAGGACTTGTTGGGGCTTTACAGTACCTTACCCTCACACGTCTTGATCTCTTCTATAGTGTTAATTATGTTTCTCAATTCATGCATGCTCCCACCATTCTTCACTTGAAAATGGTTCGGCGTATCCTATGATATGTCAAAGGTAGTATTGACTTTGATTTACACTTCACTTGATCTATGTGCCTTTTCGATGCAGATTGGGTGGGGTGTCCTACTACCAGGCACTCTACCACCGACTATTGTACCTACCTTGGGGGCAACCTCATTTCCTGGTGTGCGAAGAAATAACATACAATCTCTCGCTCTAGCGCCGAGGCTGAGTACCGTGCCATGGTCAACACTGCTGCAGAACTCACGTGGTTGACTTTTATTTTAAACGACCTTCGCATTCCTATGGGTTCTTCCTTGATCTTGTACTGTGACAACCTGAGTGCCCCTTCATATGACCGTTAATCCTATGTTTCATGCTCGAAGCAAACACATTGAGTTAGATTACCACTTTGTCCGTGAAAAAGTTGCACTTGGACTACTTACCACTTGCCATATCTCCACTGATGACCAAATTGCAGACCTTTTCACCAAGCTTGTAACAAAGGCTGCCCTCAATTACTTTCGTCCCAAACTCTACCTCCGACCCTGGCACAGTTTGCGGGAGGGTATTAGAGATGGAAACTCAAGCCATGCACTGCAGGAATCCAAGATTATCAATCAAGATCTCGCATATCATTCAACCCCAGAAATCATTCAACCTGCTTT